TTTGGTGTATTTTTTTTTATGAAAGTGCAGCTGTTACGTGTTTAAGTCCCTTGCCGAAAGAAAACATTTTATTTGAAAAAAATGGTATCTTACGTCATAGCGCTAGGATGAGAAGGCGGGAATCGAAATTTAGCCGTCCCAGTTGAAGAATTGCCGCAGTCATTAATACATTCGTTACGTGGTCTCTTCTAAACACTATGTTATAATTCAACACCTGATATGTATCTCACTCCATCAAACGATTCCCATGTGCTATAGTGTAGCAGAAAAAAAGTTATCTGAATAATTTCGCTTTGAGTTAACGAGTTGAGACTTTGAAGCTTTGGGGGAAAGTCAAAGAGCTATGCCACCCGCGTTTATGTGCTAAAGTCAATTTTGCTGTTGCGTCGCGAAAATTTGGCGGGAACGAGAATTGTTCCCAGTTGAGTTCACAATATTTAAAACCTACTTCTTCAAGTCTGGCCTCACTAACCAATATATCTTCATTGCTGACCTTGCCAACAACAAGAAATTGATGAGAATTTATTTGGTTAGCGTTTGTAAGCCTCTACGTTTTTTAGCGCTGATAATTAGAATCGGTTTTCACTGTCAATAAAGAATACATGAATCCACAAATTTACATATCTTTAGAAGTCACAAACGAACATTTTTGCAGTTATGGCGAGACTTCCGACCGAGCCGCTCATGATTTCGTAGCTAGCAACAATTTCGACAGTCATGTGGTCTGGTAAGGGCTCTTGTACAGCCCGAGACACGCGTTTCGTCCTTACAGGCTCATCAGCCGGGCAGAACCCGTCGTCTGTCGATCTTTTTATAGTCAGTTCTCTCGGGAGCGTTACACTCCTTATAGAGAGTTATCGACGACGTACGTTTTACACTTAAATAATAATGAAAGGATCCATTGAAATTTGAGCGTGATCTTAATAAACCACTCGAAGGAAAGGTAAAATATGATAAAAATACCAGCCAGCTAGCAATCGAGTGCGAAAACACTCTGTATTAGGTGAAAATTTCGCTTGGTGAAACGTACGTCGTCGAAAACTCTCTATGATGAGTGTAACGCTCCCGAGAGAACTGACTATAAAAAGATCGACAGACGACGGGTTCTGCCCGGCTGATGAGTCTGTAAGGACGAAACACGTGTCTCGGGCTGTACAAGAGCCCTTACCGGACCACATGACATGTTGGCTCAAATACTAATGAAAGAATCTTGACAGTGTTTGAATGTGGAGTGATGCGTGCAGGTTAAGGTGATAAATGCAAGATTGTCATATTACTACAGATACTCCTCATCTTTGATTGAAGTTTTTGAGATTCAATCAGAGAGAAGATAATAAACGTTCCAGCAGTACTCATAACTTATCGCTCGGCCATTTTCACGTAAGGATAACTATTTTAAATTAAGAAAAAAGAGATGGGGAGATTACTCTAGATCATAGAGAAGTCGTTCGAAGACACTGAAAAAAGATCACTAATGACTATTCAACTTCTAATTCTTCACTGCCACCGCGAGCTTGGATTGCAGTGAGCACTCGGACCTTCATCGTCTCTGGCTTCTCTTTGTCTGTTGCTATGGTCTACATTGGGGACTCTGCAGTTTCTGCACGCCTTCCTGGTATTCTACAAACGAAAATGTAGCTAAGGCCTTTGTGCAACTCCTTATAATGCAAACAGTTACTTCGTACTTCTGCATTGAGTTTTTTCTCAATTGTCGAAGGCGTGGAAAGTGAGCTCAGCTTATTGGCCATTCATCAGTCTTCTTGCTCCTCCATAGCTTAGAACGCATCTCAGAATGCAGTTTGAAACACCTCCAAAATACTCTTCTGAGTGGTGAAATTATTTTCAGGTTTTTGATGTTTTGAAGTTTTTAATGTTCTCGAAAGCCAAGGTCGTGCGCACTTCTTTCTATACTGTAATCTCATCTATCTTAAGTCAACTTAGTGTTACACCAATTACGAACCAATGGAATGTCAGAGAGCTTTTAGTTCAGCAGATATGAGTAAGTCTACACCAGCGAACATCCAGTGGAAGATTCCGGAAAGAAGACAAACCATGAATTGATTCTTGGACAGAAAACTACCAAGAAATTTTTTCCTGATTGTAAGAAACTTTTATGGAAACAAAGAAATTGAATCCTTCAAAGCGGCACTGAATTTTGAGTGTTTTTTCATATGCCTTTGTGAGCATGATTTAGAATTCAGTTTCTTAGGTGATAGTTTGAAATGGCAGTTGATCAGTCACGCAGTGCGTTCGCAAGCGGTGCACAATTAGCTCACCTGATTAGCGTGAAAACTACTAGTTAAGGAAAACTAGTCAAATGCTCCTGCCGAGTAAACAAAGAAAATTCACAAGGGAATATATTATGTTTGCTCATAAGTTTAGACAATAGAGTAATAGAAACCGGACTGATAGTCCAGAATCAATTATAAATTGCTTAGCAACACTATTCCAACTATGCGTCATCACCCTTAACACATTTTTACAATCTCTTAGACAACGAATCAGTACCGCACTCAAAGATCTTGTCAAATCTGAAGTCAAAGTAATTTTCAGTCCTCAACGCAAGTCATTTATGTCATGAAATTTTTTCTTGCTGAGGAAAAGCTCCAAAGACTAGAAGATGTGATTGTCAAACTGCGACACTCAGTAGTGGACGGCTGATAATCCAGTAACTTTCAGCTCAGTTCGGTCACATTCACTTCATTCAATGACGCCCTCTCGATCAACGTCGCGTGGGTATCTGGAGCGCACCTGGTCCTTTAAGTAGGTGTCACGGCACAAAACTTAGCAAAAAAAAAGAACTGGATCAGTGATCAGTCGGATACAAATCCAAGGCGAGCCTTTGCACGATTAACGTCCTCGAAGGCGGCATGTGCTTCCAAAAGTCGTACTCGTAAAGCCGCGAAATGTGATAAGGGATTCTGAGCAAGTGAGGGATAATTATGATGCGGCAAGTATGAACAAATTTGGTAGCACAAGAGTGCTCAAAAAATTTTGCACAAAACGACATTAATTTGTTGCTTGAGAGATGGCAGAAATGTGTTCAGGCTGATGGCGCATACTTCAGTTAGTGTTGTTAAGAATTTTTGATTACCTCTGGTCAGTAAATTTGGTGTTTATTGCCTTAGTGCCAAAACTTATGAGTAGACCTAATAACATTATTTTTCCTGTTAAGGCGCTTAGCTATGGAATGACTTCCTGTTTCGATGAATAATTTCTGTTCGGTGAACTGCTAGGGAATTAGTCGTGCATTCCATTGAATGCACTTTGCCTTTGAAGGGTCAAAAGGTTCCGAAGATGAAAAGAAAATATATCCGTTCCAAATTTTTTTCCACTTTTCATCTCGCTGAAAAAGCGTGTCTTTCTAAATTCTATATTTTCTTAAATTAAAGAGAAGGAGAGCGGCTGCATCATCGCCGACAATAAGGTGACAGGAATTTGCATTGGAGTTAGGAACAGAGGAGAAATGTGTAATATGGCAGTAGCAGGAATGGTGGAAAGAATGCCTATATCTGCCAACCATGTGTCAATTTCAGGAACTCTCTCGGTTTGAATGGTTTTTTTTGTGCACAACTCCATCCTGTAAAGAGAAGAAAATCTGTCTAGACAAGGAATATCATTACGCGAATTTGTCGAAAGCGATATGGGAAAGTGTGGTGAACAGGGCGATTCAAATGACATCAAGCTCATTTGTACGGCATTTCTTTTCGGCATCGGCCAGCATCAGCGGCAGCTGAAACTAGCTATGATGTGTACGAGACAAAATTGTTGTCAAAGTAGCCAGCAGCAATAAACTTGTAAATCACATGAGCGTTGATCACTCAGTGTGATGTAATGAATCAGATTGAATTGATCAGCATGCAAGCCTCAATCAGAGTTTTCATTGAAAATTAGTTGATAGATTTGCAATCGAGAATAATAATAAAAAGAAAATTTCTTATCTCAAAATAGGAGAAAATACTCCCATTATTTTTCCATTTGGTCATAAGAAAACGAGTGGGAAGGTCACACAGAAACGAAAACAATATAAGCAATGTAACAATATTCAAACATTTTGTGAGCTGTAAAACATTTGATCATAGGAGGGGTTTGGACGCGTGGCTTCACCCGTCTCAGAGTGCGCGTGTTGTCCCCTAGGTATGGAACCCACAATCTGCCACCACTCTATCCTCTCGTCCTTGAGCAGAAATCATATGTCCGAAGTTACTGTAGAAATTACAGTTATGTAGAATAGGATCACTGCGTCTAGAGTATTTGAGGAAACACCATAGGCACATTTTCTTTCGCAGCAGAAGGTACCATCCGATGGAAGCCAGATTGGATCATTTGAAAAGAGACGTTGTGACATTAGAAGCAGCGAACGCAGTCCTCCCAACATTTTGACTTGTTTCCCATAGTGTACCACTGATATTTTCTAATAACATTAGTTTACATTAACACAAATATTCAGCGATGACAAAATGGGGAAGTGCAAAATTTGATAGGCTGTTCAGTAATTTCAATCACAATTTGTTTTATTTCATTCCCCATTTTCAAATGAGTTGATGCTGAAAGGCTGTGGTATGTTAAGAAACGTTTTGGAAGGTTGGGCATAGTTTTGGATACTGCCCTAGCAGTATCGCTCGTCATAACATGAAATGAGCTACCGCAAAGTGATGTCTTAGTAGACACTTCATGGATTAACCGACCACCTCACATTGCGAATTAGACTCTCCACACTTTTCAAAAGTGCGTTGAATCACGGCACCTCATCTACCGTGCAGGCCTGTTTTGCTTTACAATATTATCATCTCATCTGATTCCTGAAGCAACATCTGCGAAAGGAAAAGTTCAAAGGCTACAAATATTCCAAATCATTCTACCTGAAGGGAAGACATGTACTTTCTGTCTATCAAGTGGTTTTCATGTCACTGTTTATGATAGTGATTATATTTTTGAATAATTAACTTTGTTGACCTGCCACTCGCCAACTTTTAGCTGGTTTGGTCGGTTAAGTGGAGGCCTCGGTGGTGCAATGTTAGCACTCGCCCCGGTATGGGTGGAACGCGGGTTCAATTCCCATCTGAGGTCAAACTTTTGCCTACAACTCAATCCTCTTAGGTATACTTGTACTATTTGTGACGGTATAGTACTACGAAGGCTGGTAAAAATAAAAGAATTCTCTAATTGATATAGTACAATGGTTGAGCCTGACTAGGTTTATGGAGTGATATTGCTTACCCGACCAAGCCTTTCTGAAGGTTGGTGGCTGATAGTTGTGGTAGAGAGATCTTGAAGAGTAAATGGTGGATAAGCGGTGGCCTCGGTGGTAGTCTTAGCAGGCGCCGACGGGTATAGGTGAAATGCGTGTTCAACTCCCGTCTGAGGTGAAATTTTTGCCTACCACTCAGTTCTCTAAGGTATACTTGTAATATCATAACACTGCGCAAATATTAAAAGTAAAAATAAAAGAATACTTGCTTCTTTTAGATAACATATGAAGGACTTTTCTCCTTTATCCGTTAACAAACGAAAGAATGACCTCTCTCGGTGGACAAGAATTCTAATAGAAGTGTTAATATTCAAAATCTTAAATCTCTGGTTAGAGCCGTACGTGATGTGTTTTACACAACACCCTTCTATATGGTATAAAGTCGAAAATAAAATCATGTCTCACTCAACCACGCGTTTTTTTCTTATCTCGCTTATCGCTGCACAAAACTCCATTCGTAGGCTTTTAGTGCTGCTTCAGTAGCACGAGTCTCAAAAAACTCAAAAATGTTTTGCTTTGTGGAAGAGCCCTTTTGATAGCGCTACAGGCGAAAAAAAAAACGTTTGCGCTTTATACCGCGCCGAACAAAGCTCTTTTTTAGACTACTAGCAGTCATTCGATAGAACAATTTTTGATTATTCCAGAACACCACCTGATTTCTGGAAAGACAGCTTCACTACAGTGTAACAGGGAAGTAAGATCAAGCTTCGCATATTCGGCGAGCTAAAATTTCACACGAATTCTAATTCCTCATTTAGAAAACACTGAGCTGAATGTTTTCAAGAAGAAAACGCTCAAAGCATCAAATTTTACATGAAACCCTATGTATTGACAGATGATTTCTCCGACTGTTTGATTATTGAGATGTTGGAGTGCTGATGGCTGATCATTTATGCGAACGAGCAATACTCTGTTCATTTACGCAACTGAAATCACAAAATGACCTTTGCCGATATTTCACGCTGGAACGTTACCATAACGTTCGACTTCAATTACTACTGAAGTGCGTCATGGATTGTTGATAATTTTTTTATTGATGAGCTTACATGAAGCTGCTATAAATTATAATCACAACTGAAAAATCGACGGTATCGCCTTCATCAGAACTAATAGTGTTTAAGTCGTCCTTTTCACTCTAGTCTTCAGCCTCCACATTAAGACGAGAGACATTAGCACCAGCCACGTAAACTGACGTTCTCTACACGATAAGGTTTTTTTCGTGCTTCCTGCGGATAAGAAGTGTTAGAAAAATTAATGCTCGAGGAGGGTGTGAACCTGATCGGCTACGTACGGCTCTAGTCAAAAATTTGAGCATCGGAACGATTACTAACACTTTTATAAAAAAAAATTTTGTCCAGTGCACGAGGTCGAATATTCATGCCGTCTAACACGTAAGCACCGCTTTAACGGTAAGTTCCAATGATTCTAACGCCGTGCTTATTTTCTTAAAACACCGTTTCTCTGCAGTGTAGTAGGAATAATAAGAATGATTCACAGACTCAGTTATGCCTCTTTGGCCAATTCACGGACCACAGTGTGAACCAGCAAGGGGGCTGCTGCATCCGTCGATCGATTTTCTGATCGAATTTTTGACTACCACTCAATTCTTTCATGTATACTTGTAACATCATAATACTGCTAAAATAAAAAGAAAATAAGCTGTGTCATGATGTTACTATATACCATATGATATAGAGTGGTGTGCAAAAAAAAAGTATGCGTCAACTAAGATTCGAACCCAGATATCACTCTTTCCGGGATCGCATGCTGAAGCGTTGCACTACTGACGCCCGCTTTGCACACCACTCTTTCCAGGCTGCAACGGTTATCTGTCAACAACCAACCGTTAACGGTTGATGGGGTAGTCGTCATCGACACTGAACCCACTTACGTTGATGACCACTTGCGGTGGTACGATCTTGTGTGGAGTGCTGTGCAAAAACATTTGCGTCAGCCGGGATTCGAACCCAGATCTCACTCTTTTCGGGAGGTGCTCGCTAAAAAACGGACGTGTGTAGTGCAACGACTCAGCACGAGCTCCCGGAATGAATGAGATCTGGGTTTGAATCTCAGCTGACGCAAACGTTTTTGCACACAACTCTACATTGTTTTTACTTGACTATTGAGAACTAACAAATGAAGGTTTTTTCCATTATCTGTGACGTCGCTTATGATCTCATTACATAGCCAACCTTGAATAGTGTAGTGAATAGTGTAGTATTCCTGTGCTTCACGAAAAATTGCGCCCTAACGTGATTGTCTTGTCACCCATTGATTCTATAACAACAGAATTTTGGTTTGTACGAATTGGTGTGCTTTTGAATCAGTTTCATGCCTTTTCTGTTGCTGAATTAACCAGTGAAAACTTTTGAATCTCTTGATTTGACTATCATGTATTTTAAGGAATGCCATTTTTGTTTCTTGAGAAATTGTCACCAGAGGCGTTTCGTTGTGAAGGTTGTACGATTTTTTTGTGTTATCCGGCATGAAGTTGTGAAGGTACCCCATATGCTAAACAAAGAATTCATACCAAACTTCTAGTAATCATTTTTTTTCGGAAAGGTTTTTCTACAGCGCAGTGAATCCAAAATGAGCTTATGTTTCACATGTGCGGCGCGCTTTTATTACTATCGCGCTTATATGTCGCTTGTCAAGGTTTTTTTCACCAAAATACTACGGACATCAAATAGTGCAAAGTTCAGAGAGTGCAGTACTTGTTTTTTGGAATTTCTATTAGATTGTCCTAAAATTTGGAAGAAAAAGAGTTAGATAATTTAGAGTTTCTGTGCGGCTAAATCTTTTTTTCCTTAAAACGCTACCAAAGGGCTTTTCCGAAAAGTAAACACATTGTCGAGTTCTTCGGGACTTGCGCTATAGAAATAGTACTGGCAGTCTATGGGAGATGTTTTGTTCAGCAAAATATAAATGAGATAAGGGAAAAAGCGCGTGGTCGTGTGGAACGCAAATTTGTTTTGGATCTTACATCGTTATAGAAAAATGTCTTGGAAATCGGTCATGCATATCTTTAGCCAGAATTGCTAACACTATTATGAATAATACTTGCCCAGCAAATAAGGCTGAACCTTCATTTATCGCCGTCTAACAAATAAGTATCACTTTTACTGTATTTAAGTAACATTACACTTTTAGTCCGAGGAATGAAAACTCTATCTCAACTGCAAAGTTTCAGTAAATCCCACTTGGATCGTAATAATTCGGTTATGTCGGCTCCGCGAATGACAAATCGAAAGCATCGTCAGCGTTACAGAATGATCTGCTTTTCTATGAGCTTTGTGTAAGTGTCGAAAGAAGCGCATAAACAAGTCCGTGGTGTATTAGTTCCGTGTTATAGGAATTCCGTGTTGTAGTAGTTTCCTTGTTTGAGTAGTTCCGTGTATTTCAATGAAATTGCCGAGCAAAAAACCAATTTTACTAGAGCATTTTCTTTTGTACATCAAGTACGATACTCTAATAATTTCGAATTTCAGTCTGTGTTTTTACGAAACTGTTTCATCAAAGATCATGAGGACGGATTTTTTTCACTATCATATTTTATGTCAATTGCGTACAGAAAACATCAAGTCACTTTACGTGGCTGGTGCTAATGTCTCTCGTCTTAATGTGGAGGTTGAAGACTAAAGTAAAGAGGACGACTTAAACACTAATAGTTCTGATGAAGGCGATACCGTCGATTTTTCAGTTGTGATTATAATTTATAGCCGCTCCATGTAAGCTCATCAATAAAAAAAATTATCGCCAACCATGATGCACTTCAGTAGTAATTGCAGTCGAACGTAATGGTAACGTTCTAGCGTGACATATCGGCAAAGGTCATTTTGTGATTTCAGTTTTATAAATGAACAGAGTAATGCTTGTTTGCATAAATGACCAGCCATTAGCACTCCAGCATTTCAATAATTAGACAGCCTAAGAAATTATCTGTCAATTCATAGGTCTCCATGTAGATTTTAATGTCATGAGCGTTTTGTTTCTAAAGATTTCTAGCTTAATGTTTTCCAAATGAGGAATTGAAATTCGTGTGCAAGCATGCGTTTGCATGCGGGTGACAATTTATTAACAGCCAAGGAAGCTAGAGTTTTCCCAATTTCAATGTGTTGGTGAGAATTTTTTGACTCATCGTGAATTATAGTAGTCATTCCTTCCAAGAGAGACAGATTGAACGGGTAGTTGGCGGTGTTGAGTCATCAATCGTCATATGGAAAATTTATTAATGCCAGATATAGTTATCTGATCAGTTTCGTGTCACCTTGATTAAGCTGTTGAGCAACTAGCAGTAACCCCGTAACGTTATTGGAGCCGTTAAGAGTGTGGTGACTGCAGCGAAGAGGAATAAGAACACGTAAATCGCGCCCCCCTTTTCAACTCAACAATTCTTTCTGTCCTTAATGCGTCGAAAATGTGGTCGTCGCGCATGCAGGGTGAAAGATTTCTCAGTGTTGTAGTACGCAGTTGATGGAACGTTGCTAGTAATGCGTATCATGAAAAGGAGAAATTTAGTCAAAAGTCATGTTCTTTATTAGAATATAAAAATTTGACATTCATTACGTCACCAACGCCACTATTGGGAGACTGGGCGCTTAATAATTGCAAAAGGAGGCTGTTGAAAAGAACCTCCTAACGACTGGATTTCCTGAAATCTCAAACGGACACTGAGAAAACTACAGATCAGGTAATTTGTTCTTTTCGAAGAAAGTCCTTCAAAAAATGCAAGGTGCTCGGTGAAATCCAAAACAAAAGGCAACTTTGGCAACAAACTCGTGAACTGTGGTTACTTACAAGTAGTAATTTTACTAGTTTAG